TTACGCACCATACCGTGACGCTGACTAGGCGCACGGCGTGTGTGGGACTCGCCGGCACGGGAAACAGTGCCGACCCTACTCAAGCAGGACCAGTGCGGAAGGCCACACTGATCCTACTCCACTAAAACCCCCCGGTACCCTCCTACGCCCATATGAGGGCGGTCTCGGGGCCGACGCACCTGCGTGCGCCACATCTCCGAGCACGCCCCCGGGCAGGCCCGGCCCAACGAGTGGACCGGGCGACGCGCCTCAGGGGGACTGCGCTAGGGTACTAGGCAGTCCCCAGACGTGGTGGCCTGTGCCGGAGCGGCACCTAGGACGCGCGGCTGGTCAGGCCGCGCCCAGACCACCTTAGGGCCGTCGAAGACCGGCAGTCACCGCTGCCTGCCTTCTTCGGCCCACCCGTCTACGCCGGAGAGGGGGGGCTAGAGCGTCCTCCTCCCGCTCCCTCTCCGCTGCCTCCTTCTGCGTCATCACCGATTCGCAGAAGGAGGCGGCAACCCTCCAGGCTCTCTCGCTACCAAGCATGACTCTTACCATACTTGGCAGCGTGAGGCCTCCTCCGCCGAGCGCCGCGATCAAATCGCGGCGCTCATTTCGCCAGGCCGGACACACGATCAACGTGTGCTCGGCCGTGTCGTCGGGAGAGGCGCAGTGATGACACCGCGGTGTCTCCTCCCGACGGGCGACTCGGTGCAGGTAGTGACCGAAGCACCCATGTCCGGTCAGTACCTGCACCAGGCGGTAGGTGAGGGTGCCCCGCTGGCGCCCTACCCACTCCTCCAACACCGGACGAATCGCCTCGATCGTCCGGTGACAATTGCGATACCCTACACTACAGGGTCCATAATGCACTTTTATCTATATGTTACCACCTTTGTATCTACATTATGGTCTGCAATAAATGAATTGAATTGAACGTAGACTCACGGAGTTTTCGTTGCACCGTGTGGCGGCGCAACAGAGCAACAAACGGTTACATAATTGGCGCTCCATGTCGGCCCCACAGTGACGCCCGAGGCGGAGCAACTTCAACGCGCCGAGCGAACGAGTTAATTTGACGGCAAACTTGCAAATTGTTCGCAACAAAAGTTGTTGTGTCGTCCCAACTCCCAACTCTTGCCTTTAACCATAACTCAACCGCTGATGGATAGGAATGGAGATACAATTTCACTTTTATAATTATTCAGAAGTATAATATATATAAAACTAGCGGCCTGCCCTCGCTTCGCTTCGGTGTAGAGCTGAAGTGTAGACTACAGTTTCTGTTCTCAGGCTTGTATTATACACAATGACATTCATCTATGATTCTTCTTATACCTGCATGCAAAGTCTCAGCGCGATCGGTTTAAAATTGACAAAGTTTCATACAAACTTTCACTCCCTATTTTATCCCCTTGGGGGTAGCATTGATCAAAATCCTTCTTAGCGGATGCCTACGTCATAACATCTACCTGCATGCCAAATTTTTTGCCCGATCCTTCTAGTGGTTTGGGCTGTGCGTTGATAGATCACTATGTCAGTCACCTTTGAATTTTATATATATAGATAGATTTGCTTAAATATATTGAAATAGAGCCGATCCGGCTCGAATGACTAAAAAAAAAATCAATCGTCATTAACACCAGCCTATTAATGTCCCCATTGCTGGGGCACAGGCCTTTCCTATGGATGGAGTAGGGAGATTGGCCGTGACCCAACCCAGAGCACAGTGCGATTTGGTGGGTGCTAACGACTGCAGATGCAGCTTGGAACAACAGCTTAGCGGGCCTTCCGAAGCACGGAGGAGCTACACCTACATAAAATTAATAGCAATAATTGACTACTTCGACATTGTCTGGAGTATATTTGAAGGAGTAAATTATTGTATAATTTACTCCTTCAAAGTAAATTCAAAGTAATTGTATGAGGAGCTCGATGGCGCAAGTGGTTAGCGCGTTCGGCCGCGATCGTTGAACTTAAACAACTTTCGCAGTGGTCGGTCATTGGATGGGTGACCAAAAATTACTATCTCGAGCTCCTCCGTGCTTCGGAAGGCACGTTAAGCCGTTCGTCCCGGCTGCACCTGCAGTCGTTAGCACCCACCAATCCGCACTGGGCCCGCGTGATGGGTCATGGCCCAATCTCCCTATTCCATCCATAGGGAAGGCCTGTGCCCCAGCAATGGGGACATTAAAAGGCTGCTGATGACACTCAGTAGGGATAAATTGTGAAGAACTCTTCTTTATTGTTCTGGTCTTCAACTATATTGGCAAACAACTAAATAACATAATAACACAAAATATTGAAACGCCTACATAAAATTAATAGCAATAATTTCTACTCCGGCATTGCCTGGAGTATATTTGAAGGAGTAAATTATTGTATTGTGCGATATCAAGCTATTAAGCCAGCGCACGTATAATTTCAATGCCGGATTTAGCTTAGCTGAATGAGGTACGTTTATTATGCGCGCCTGCACAAACCCACATGCATATAACTTTGCATTAGCCTGCAACGAGCATTCATGCTAGAGAAATGTTCTGGGGAATGGCAGCCACTGATGGTAATACATTGCGCAATCTTTAAAGATTAATATTATACAGTATAGAGATTCCTTTATTTAATGTAGTTTTGTTCTTTGTCTTTATCAATGAATTTAATTTTAACTATTACGTATTTTTTTACATCAATGAATGTTTAATGATCATTATTTATATTTAAGTATATAGCTAAACACTGCTAGAGTAGCTCGATGGCGCCAGTGGTTAGCGCGTTCGGCTGCGGTCGTTGAAGTTGAGCAACTTTCGCAGTGGTCGGTCATTGGATGGGTGACCAAAAGTTTACTATCTCGAGCTCCTCCGTGCTTCGGAAGGCACGTTAAGCCGTTGGTCCCGGCTGCATCTGCAGTCGTTAGCACCCACCAACCCGCACTAGACCCGTGTGGTGGGTCATGGCCCAATCTGCCTAATCCATTCATAGGGAAGGCCTGTGCCCCAGCAGTGGGGACATTAATAGGCTGATGATGATGATGATGAACTGCTAGATATTTTACTAGTATAAATTCCACGCGGTCCAAGCAGATGGGACGCGAAACCGTTATCCGGGCGAATGCATTGACCAATTATGCTACCGTAACCTTAATGGCCGTGTCGAATTTCTTCTAGTACTTCTTAGGCTGCCTTTATACCTTTACCATGTTCACTTTTCAGTCAATTATTTTACACTTAAACAGAACTCGAATTCATTAGCACCTCCATGTCTTCGATTAATACAGACCAATCGTGTGTGGCGTTCAATTGAAACATTTGCTAGTAAATTGCGTCTTTATTTCGTGCAGTGCAAGGTTTAATATCCGAAGCGTAAGACCGAGTTACTGGGGCAGAAATATTGTAGTTCTCAGGTCATTAGATATAACCAATAGTATTGCAGTAAAAACGCTTATATGTCTGGATTAGGGTTGCGTTACCGGGAACGTATGAAGAGTTATGTATGAAATAGGTTGGTCATGGTATGATTTTGTAAATGTATTTTATGCTCAATATCTTCTATTTTATTCCCATTGTTTCTACTTCACTAAATGAATAATTATATTATAAAGACTTAAAATAGTTTTGACGTTATAATTTTTATTTTTTTAAGCATGTAACTGCTTGATGTTAAAATGTAAAGAAAATACCACGCGGACCAGGCAGCAGGCGGGACTATTATATTTTTTTTAATTTAAACATCAATAGAACAACGCCAATGAGTCAGTGACGAAGGCTGCAAAAAAACTAAAGCTTTTTCCTTGGATCTATCTGTATATATAAAACTCAAAGGTGACTGACTGACATAGTGATCTATCAACGCACAGCCCAAACCACTGTACGGATCGGGCTGAAATTTGGCACACAGGTAGATGTTATGACGTAGGCATCCGCTAAGAAAGGATTTTGATCAGTTCTACCCCCAAGGGGATAAAATAGGGAATGAAAGTTTGTATCAAACTTTGTCAATTTTAAACCGATCGGGCTGAGACTTTGCATGCAGGTATAAGAATAATCATAGATGAATGTCATTGTGTATAATACAAGCCTGAGAACAAAAACTGTAGTCTACACTTCAGCTCTACACCGAAGCGAAGCGAGGGCTGGCCGCTAGTCTGTAATAAACAATGTTTGAAAAGAAAACCAACAGCATTCATTATTAATCACAATTTACGATACGTAATCACAAATTACGAGTAGCTGTCTACAATTTAGTTATCTTATTCTGAAACGTCTGAAAATCTAATTACACAAGAAACTTCGTACGCCGGAGCGCCATCAATCAAAGAGAAAAAACTAAATCTTCTAGAGAAGATTTAGTATCCCCCGCAATGCTTACTTATTTCGTATTTTCGAATAGTGAAAACAATTTCTTTTACACAACAATATAAAATGAAAAATAATGCAATCTCTACCTTGTATTTCTATAATAAGACTAGCGGCCCGCCCTCGCTTCGCTTCGGTGTAGAGCTGAAGTGTAGACTACAATTTTCTTTTCTCTAGCATTTAGTAGACTTATCATTTGCCCGGATAGGTTATAGGCTTTTTTTGTAAAATTTTCTTAAACTTTACTCTATGTTTATTATTAATTTGCTTGATTTATGAACCTTCAGAGATTATAATTAGAAAAATATCCACTTAGTGAACAAAATAAAGTAATCGGTGTACTGCCGAGACCTTAACGATCGTGGCGAATATCTTTATATATATAATTCTTCTGTGAGTGTGTATGTCACTGAACTTCTCTTAAACGACTGGACCGATTTTGATGAAATTTTTTGTGTGTGTTCAAGGGGATCTGAGAATGGTTTAGATTCACAATTTTGTCCGCTGGACAACCCCTATTTTTTTAGGGCGGTACGAAGTTCGCTGGGTCAGCTAGTATTCTATAATTACTTAGGCTGAAAGACAGTTAGATACGCTAAGATTTACTCTGGCTTTCGATTTCAGTGACTAGATTTCATATAATTTACCCTGGATTATTGTCTCCAGAATACCTGGACCCTTACATCGTGCCGGCGAGCCTGGAACAGCTCCTGGTGGCCAGCGACGTGGTCGGCAATATCAGGTTCAGCCACCCGACGCTGTACGTATTCCCGGGAGGCCAAGGCGACGCCGCGCTCTTCGGCATCAACGGATTCAACATGCTCGGTAAGTCGACAAAATGGAGGATGCGTCCGTACTCACAAAATGGCGGACGTCATCAATTTGTGATCGCACTCTTGGAGTGATGTTGATCTACCCGAATATTATAGAATTTTGGATGGGTTACAGAGAGAAATGGATGGCTACCTGGTTTTGTACATTTTTGAGGTTTGTGTGTTTGCCAAAAGTAACTCCGAGTTGTTTACATTGATAAAGACTACCTTCATTTTAACACTGAATACACTAATGCCCTGGTTCTTCCTGAAAAAACAAGGCGCTGTTCCGTAGAAATGTGTATTGTATGACTATATGTATTTATAACAGCTTGCCGGATGATCCCAAGATTTTGCCTATAAATACGGAAACATAAAACTTGGTTGATTGGGGTTGTTCTCTGGTGAGGAGATTATCTACTATATAAAAATAAGTCGGGTTTTCCTTCCTGACGCTATAACTCCAGAACGCACGAACCGATTTCCACGGTTTTGCATTCGTTGGAAAGGTCTCGGGCTCCGTGAGGTTTATAGCAAAGAAAATTCAGGAAAAATTAAAAAAAAACTTCTTTTAATCACCAAACAAAATGTTACATAAAACGAAGCCATCTGGTGGCGAAACGGAGTTCGCCGGTTTTGCTAGTGGGTTTATATAAAAGACGGAATTGATTTGTTATGTTTTCCCCCCTTGGTTTGGACGGCTTATAGATAGTGCACTATTATTTGTTAAGATATTTATAATAATTGTATGCCAGTTTCCGGTGAATTCTGCGCGTCTCAACAAATAACGTTGTAACTATTCTTGCAAATAAATAAATCTGAATCCGATATACTGTGATCTGATTATAAAAAGCTATATGCTAGTTCAAAACATAAAATCGTTGATAGAGCATTCGGTACTCTGATAAATCTTAATCATATTTGTTTCTTAGGTTTTCACGCTCATTAAATAAAACTAGTTTTAACGGGTCAATGCACGAACTCTATTTATTTATTGACGATTCGCAACCTTTTCAGGTCTGATTATTCTGACGATGCAGACCTGAATAGGCTGCGAAACGTCAATAGATAAATAAAGTTCGTGCATTAACCCGTTAAAACTAGTTTTATAATCCTTAATCAGTTATTAAGATAAATTATCGGGATCGCTACCATTGTTCTTACGAGTTAACTTCGGCCGTCCTATGACATTGGCATCGGTGACAGTGCCGACATATCGGTCACGCGTAAAAAACAAGGACAAAAGCAATCCCGTTATTTATTACTCGTAAAAATTATATAGTGTCCATAAAATTGTGAAATGCTATTTACTTAATCCATTAGAGATATTTTGAAAGAGAATTGTGTAAATATTTTTCTTTATAATAAAAATTGTAATAAGCTAGAAGGCGCTACTTCTAAAACAACGAATTTCAAAAAAAATCTTGATCGAAAAGCAATTTTACTGCGGCACGGTGTTACAAAAAGGATTTTTACACGTTTACGTAAAGTGAAGCCACAATAACTCTTGCTCACCGTCGTGTAAAAGCCTAAAATTATTTTCTATTCCCTCTGTAAGCCTTCCCCGTTCCGTGGCAGCCTCGGGGCGCAATTTCTCTCGATATTCCCCTAAATTCTTGACGGGAACGATGCCAAAACATCGCCGGGAGCGAAACGGGAACATCCTTGTTACGAAACGGGAACCGTACCAATGTTTCGCTTAGTACTCTAAGGCTCCGGAGGAGTCCAGGGCAACGTAACTCTGGTATTTTATGTAGTAAAAGATCACTTATTACTTTATATATTGTATTTCAAAGGAATACACCACTATTATTAATATGTTTTTACTTCTACGCCCGTTTTCATACTGCTATACATTGAAATCAAGACAAAAGACAACTAAATTCTGTACTTTAAATATATCTTAAAGTTTTAAATATGAATGCCAGCCGTAGGCACTAGAGTACTAGACAAGAAAAGAGGCTGTAAAGGTGATGGCCGACGATCTGTGAATTCCCGGGCGAGGCCACGTTTTGCCAAACGTAGGAGAACTCGAAAGTAGAACTTTTTATTAGCTGCAGTAAAATGACGTTTTGTGGGTTACCGCTTTTTGAAGAAAAATAAATAGGGATGTAGCTAAGTGAGTAAGTGAATCATTCAATAAATGAGTGATCAGTTTGGTTTTATTTTAGAGATTTAATATTAAGTTGTAATGTTTTTTTATTCTATTATTATCACTTTAGTAAAGGATTGATCTTTTTCAGTGGAAGTATAAGGACGTACATCCAAAATTAAACAAAATAGACATAACAATGTTATTTATTAATCAATCATTTTCGGAATCACTATCGCTTCCGGTCACACTAATGACAAATCTGTCTGTCACTACATCTATAATATGATCGAGGTGGCACATTTTGTCTTCCTCTTTTATAGTGTGAGACACGCAGTCACTCCACTTAGTCGGTGTCACTTTGTTGATTCCTTCTTGGAATAAAGTTTTCATTTCTTGCATTTTATATGTTTTATTATTGTTTGCGACGTGCCCCTTTACCTGAGCCCAAACCAACTCGATGGGGTTCAATTCACAGTGATAAGGGGGCAGTCTTAAAAGTCTGATACCTTTTTCAGCAATCTCGTCCACGGCATATTTCTCAGTATGATTTCGTTGTTTTACAATATCTATGAGAGTGGCCTTCACCATATTTGGTTCAAATGTAATATTTTTAGTGGTCAGCCACTCTTGAATTCGTGCTTTCGTCCACGATATCTTTGGGATTGTTTCGATCTTCCTAGAATGATAGGGGGCGTTGTCCATTACGACTACTGCATTCGGCTTGAGTTAGGGTAGAATGCCGTCGAACCACTCCTCGAAACACTCTGCGTTCATTTCATCATGGTAATTTTCTGTACCTTTCTTTGCTTCAAACATAAGAAGTCCGTCGTCCAGGAAGCCTTCTTCTCCGCCTATGTGACTGATTATAAGTCGTTTGCCCTTTCCTGTGGGATTTTTCAATCCCGTAGTTAGACCGTCTAAAAATGCGTGCCGAGATGATTTTATACTTCCACCACTCCAGGTTTTTTTTGTAGAACGAAACTGAAAGAACAAAAAATAATCATATGTTTCGACAGCTAAATAAAAGGGGATCAAACATAGAAAACTAAGAGTTGCCAGTTACCAGCGTTGATCCAGGTCTCGTCTTGATAATATATGTATCTTCCCTCCCTACGATATTGTTTAATTAAACGCAGGTAGCGCTGGCGCCATGATATGATAGCTTGTCTGTCAATAAGTACGCTCTTGCGTGTTCGAGTAGTGAATTTGAAATTAAGATGCTTCATAATTTTTCTCAATGTTTCTTTCGAGAAGTTGGCAATTCTGAGTCATCATTTACAACTTGCAACACCTAAAAATTATTGACTTATTATTACATAATTGGTTAAAATTTCACATGGGGTGGGAGAAAACATATTATACCTAACGAATAATAATAAGATTAGTGATGACAAGTAAACTAACCTTTGCGATGGTTGGTACTTCATTTCTATGACAGAACTGATGTACAATTCGTCTAATAGCGGTGAATGTGAAATCATCAAGTTTTTCTTTAAATGTAAGTTTTGGGCCAGAGATTTCGGGAGGTTTTAGTGATTCACAGTCGTTCTCCTTGTGCTCCTTTAAAACAGAATAAACAGTGCGGACGGATATTCCCAAGACTTCAGCCACCTTGTTGACGCATTCACTTGTTTTTGGAACTTAAATGTTTGATTCTGTAGATTTCACTTCAAACACATATTTTTAAACGTTTCTGATCCAAAGTTTCTCGGTTGCACTTAGAGCTACACATGGCCTTATTTTCTTAGGAGATAAAAATGTATCTCCATCTTGTGATGTGCTCAACTGAGCATCCATGTCTTCGATGTAACAAACGATCGGTAACGAAAAACAAACACAACGTAACAAAAATTTAACAATAAAGATAACTAAAACAACTCGCAGTGGGCAAAGCAAAGTTATTCGTGCACTCAAAATAGAAGTTAGAAGCCGAATGAGCGAATGACAAATAAAATAAAATGGCGGACAAGCGTCATCGTAGCACCGTAAGTACTGGTTTTTAGTTACGGTGCTACGATGTATGATCATTATGAGTTACTTATGGAACGATTAGATTTTCTGTGAACCTAAGCACATCCCTATTGAAATTAGGCTGTCAACATTATTTTACGGAATGACATTTTGAAACGTCATTTTACTGCAGCTAATAAAAAGTCGAAGTATAAGTATCGCCGCACACGGGCCACACGCCACAGCTACAAACGCCTCCAGGAGAAGCTAGAAGCGGCTACTAAAGTGGCTGAAGCGCGCGACAGCGGCCGACTAAGGTAAGGGAGAGAGGGGTGGGGAATCGCGCGAGGGACGTGTGGCAGCGTTTTGTATCGGCGCATTAAGTAGCCGGTGCGGGCCACAAGAAGCGAGCAACGACGATTTGTAGCGTGTGGCGGCCACCGGCGTACCGTGTGTGGTGAGTCCATATAAAATGTTTGAAAACTACAAGAAAAATGCCTGTGGCGGCGTTTTGTGGTTGTGGTTGGTGGCCCGTGTGCGGAGACACTAACGTTCGAGATTAAGCAGTGTCTATACATGATACAATTTTTGACCACTTTCAGCTTGATTTGAATTTATGTATGTTTGAATTTCTAAATTAACCGGACCACAGGGAAATTGACCATTAAAACTGAATCGCAAATTTATCGGGAGGTACTTTCGTTACTAAAAACTCTGTGAATGTGATATAGACACTAGCATAGGTAGCAATCAATAAGGAATGATATATTTTTCCATTTATTCACACAAAGACGTTCAATATGACGAATACAAATTGACACAAAAATACCGTATATTTTCCCTTTTACGACACACATCTTATGCGGTGAAAATAATATCAGTTCGTTATTTATCACTCGCACCTGCTACCTTATTCCTAGGTTCACATCTCTACAGCACAGCGGATTATTGCGATAAATCGAAATATA